ATTATTTTATTTTAGAGATTAATAAAAAGAAACTCTTTATAACAAATTTCGGTATATGTTTAACATTGTAGCCGATAGCAACTAATGCATTATGTATACCAAAATCCAACACTATGACTATTGTAATAGTTTAAAATATATTCAAACAAAATAATGCATATATTTTTAATTTATTTTTATTGTTTCAGATAATCAAGTCTTCATATACGCTGTTCACGTTCCTGAATCGAAAATAGATTCTCAACATTTTGATTTTAATTAAAAAATATTATTATACTTGTTTAGATAAACCTATCATCAGTAGGCTAATAAATAATATTATTATGACAGACAGACTTATAATGATAAAAAATACAGATACAGAAAAATATAGACACTGTTGCCTCCCTCCACTGAGTACGCTTTGGTGACCTCTTCTTGGAAACCGAGGGATTTGTCTGTGCAATACAAGATCAGATCATTAAGACCAACAACTACTATCGGAGATACATCATGAGGGCTGGCACCGTCAACATCTCTCGAGCTTTTCGTCATCCCGGTGAATCTTTAGGCATATCATCTCCAGTTGTTCGGCGCTTTCTAACTCTGAGTACTAGCTTAGACACAACCTAGTAGCCAGGATCCTACACCATGAGTTCGCCCTGAAATACAAGTCTTGTGGTTCGAAAATTGCCTTATTATAAGTACTTGCCGGAAGCCGTACTTGAAAATGACCGCGCCAGGTTCTACTGCGACCGGGCCATCATTACAGATAGGCCTATCTTATTTTTATTCTTGCGAATAAGCCAGATATTGTGCTGATGGACCGAGCACAACCAAGGATATTTTTGGTAGACATTACCATTCCGTATAATGAGAACCTCGTGAAAGCCAAAACACATAAACGAACTAAATATCTAGATCTGGCTCACGAGGTAACCGACATGTGGGGTGGTTTGCCGAACGAAATTATTCACATGGTCGTTTCTGCGAAGGGGCTAATCCCGGTCAGCCTTTCGGGTCATCTGCGGTGACTGGGACTCCGTGTTAAATGCAAAAGGCGGCGCTCCTCGATACCGCCCGCATCGGCCGCCAGTTTCTTTCTCTTTCTTACTAACCCTTGGCCGTTTGGTCTCCCCTGCTGAGGGCTTTTTCGTTTTTTTTTGGTTCTACGTCCAACAAATTCACAAGAAGTTGTGACTGTTGTAAAACGGATGGAAAGTAAATAATCTAGATGACGATATTCCAATAAAAATAATAAAAGATAATATTGATTTGTTAAGTGAACCTTTGAAATATGTCTATAATAAATGCATAAGCCAAGGAATATTTCCTGACAAGTTTAAGATAAAAAATAAATACGCAAAAATAGTACTTATACATAAAAAGAACATAAAAATAGACCCGAACAATTATAGACCTATTGCCCTACTACCAGTATTATCGAACATTATGGAAAAGTTAATAAAAGTACGCTTAATGACGCACTTAAATCGTAATAAGGTTTTGAATGAAAAACAGTTTGGCTACCAAAGGGGGTATAGGAACCGTTGACGCAGTTGATACTGTAGGGAATGATATATTAACAAAATTAAATAAAAAGTTCAAGTTGCAAACCTATTCTTCGACTTAAGCTCTGCTTTTGACAGCGTATATTACAGTATATTAATAAAAAATCTAGAATACTATGGAATTAGGGATCAATCACTAAAATTAATTAAATCTTATTTGAGTAATAGGAGACAATTTGTAGAAATTGTCTACATATTGAATTGTTTATAGTAACCGCAGTAACAAGAGGTGTACCTCAAGGCTCTGTGGTGGGACCGATATTCTTCATAGTCTTTTTGAGTGACTTAATAGATTAAATCTGACGACTGCAATACGACTGCAATCTCATTCCTAAGATTCAAGTCATTATTTTTGTAGATGATTCGAGCGCAGTACCATCATCAAAAACTGCAGACGAATTAAAGGACAAGATTATTGTAAGTATGAAAACATTCCGAAAATGGTTCACAGCTAATGGTTTAGCTGTGAGCTAATGGTTTATTGCAAAACACAACTAAAATTAATATCGTCATGTTCAAAGCCACCGCTAAAAACAATGACATAATAGAGGTGTACGTAAATGGGGAAATAATAAAAACTATAAATTTTTGGGAATTCATCTCGACGATCTCCCAAACTGGAAAGTTGAGCTGCTAGCCACAGCAGACACAATAAGTTCAGCTAGCTATGCTTTACGCACCTTGCGAGAAGAATTAACCGTTGATCTTTTACTATGCGCTTTTTGAGTCCAAGATAAGATCTAGCACAAAATTTTGGGGCAATAGCTATAAATATAATATGAAAAAAGCATTCACTGCCCAGAAAAGAGCTATTAGAGCAAGAATAATAATAATATAAACTTACACTACCACACCAAGAAGGGGGAAGAGGACTGGTAGACATACGCAATTTACATAATAAACAAATAATTTCGCTCAGAGCGTCCTTCCATAACAATCAGAACACTCGTCTTTACACATTTTTTTTTACGTGGTAGAGCCATGCGGCAGCTATATTAGTAGTATAGTTATAGCACGAATGGGCCGGCTCGATCGGGGAAGGACCACGCTCTCACAGAATACCAGTGTAAAATAGTAGCTTAACACTGCTGTGTTTCGTATGGTGAGTGTAGAGAACCGGAGACTTTTTTTACTGGAAAAAAGGCATTCTATCTTAGTCCTCACGGGTGACAACACATCTGCATTTTGATTCTTTATTGAGGATAAATGTGGATGTCTATGGGTCACAGCAACTACTTACCATCAGGTGGACTGTGTGCCCGTTTGTCATCCTATTCTATAAAAAAACATAACGGAAACAGACAAAAAAACTTACACAACTTACAGAACAGAAACACGCAAATTAATGAACACATTATGGGAACACAACAAAAGATCGCAGCATGGTCTGAAAAAGCCCTACATGGAATACGAGTCGAGCCTATCTGAGTCAGCCACACGTCGATAAAACTAAGTCAAACGAATGGCTAAAACGAGGTGAACTGTTTCCCGAGACCAAGGGTTTTATGCTTGCCATACAGGATCAAATAGTACCAACTCGTAATTATATAAAATACATAATAAAAGACTCCAATCAGACTACTGACATGTGAAGACATTGCAACAATGCCTCTGAAACCATACAACATATTACAGGAGCATTTAAATCACTTACACAAACCGATTATAAAAATTGTCATGATGAAGTCGATGCAATCATACAAGAACATCTAATATAATAAATATCAAATATAAATTCGTATATAAGATGCAGCCATATTATAAGTGTAAACCTGAAACAATATTAGAAAGTAAGAATCAGAAAATCTACTGGGACCGAACAATAATAACAGATAAAACTATTCATTGCAACAGACCTGACATTAGCGTTATTAGCTCGCGATCGCCTGGTTTTGTACAGAATGCTGGCCGTATGAAGAAGCTCAAGGTCGCTATGGGGAGGGCTATGCTCGGGGTTTCTCTGCGTGATAAACTTATAAATGAGGATATCCACAGTAGAACCAGAGTGACCGACATAGCCCAACGGATTAGTAAGCTGAAGTGGCAATGGGACGGCCATACAGCTCTTAGAACTGACAACCGACGGGGAAGAAAGGTTCTTTAGTGGCAGCCTCGCACCTGCAGATGAAGTGTAGGGCGACTCCCTACTAGATGAAGTGACGACCTGGTAAGACATGCAGTGAGTCGATGGCTGCAGGTGGGTCTGGACTATGCTTTGTGGCATTCCTTGGGGTAGGCCTATGTTCCGCAGTGGACTTGTGAAGGGCTGTAATGATGATGATGATGAAGTAGTGTTTCAAATAAATAAAATACTGGAAATAAATAATAAAAACGGACACAACAAGAAGGTAAATTCAGTGTCCTATCCTCTAATTTCTTTTTTAGTATTGAATTACTAAAAATTTAGGGGTCGCTTAATCTACCCGGGGTCCCCACATCAATATATATAAAACAGTATTTGCTATCTATCAGCGCATGAAGCACAGAGCTAAAGTAACCTTTATATTTTATTGGTAGCTCATGGTGAAGATATTTCAACTATCTTATTTTTTTAAGTAACGGACTAAGCTACAAAATTGGTTTTCAGCAATTATTATTCAGCGACAAATTCCCATGCAAATTTCGATAGATGCTTACTGCCTGCTAGATAGAGCTTAATTTTTTTTCATATAATTAAAATATTCAAGTTCTACCACTTAATAATGCCGCAATTTAGAGATGTTATACAGAAATGTTAAACAAACTTAAAAAATGAAACGAACAAAAAGCTAATAAACATGTCATTGTCAGATTATTAAAAGTTAATTTAACTTCGTACAAAGCGTATCTAATGGGAAATTGTTTAGCACATCTGATGTTGCTCGTAAAATTAACCACTGTATAAATTAATATTCGATAGCGTTTCTGAGTGACTGTTCACTGCCGACGCCTTGAGATTTACACGTTTTGAAACATCGCTGTTTACTTTTCTTACGCATGAAATTACTTACAGTAAACGTTGGAGTGTACATTTTGTATTGAATATATTTATATGTGATAAAATGGCGCCACCCTTATCGTACCTGCGGTCCGTCCAATAGCTATAAGTAATTGCTCGCCAAAATTCACGTTGTCTTTTGTCGGAATCCATAATGAAATAAACATTCGGGTCAACTAAAAATAAACTTTTATCTTTATCATTTATCCACCGAATACATTGTCGGCGAAATTCTCGAGAAGCTTTTCGTCTCGTCGAGCGCGGGCGGTCGACCGGCTCGGACTCCGTCAGACAATTCAGGAGCCCGCCTCTTCAGTGCTCCGTACGTCGTAAGTGCTGAAAGTCGTGTAAAAAGCAGTATCCGGCCGCGAATAGTGCGCGTGGAATTCCGTTTATAAATACACGGGCGTGCGGCAGAAGGGCGAGCGAACGAACGAGCGTGTGCGTGGTACGATGTTCGCGCGCGAGAGCCGATGATATTTACGGGCGGGGGGGCTCGCCGGCGCACTTCGCCCGCGCCGCCGCGCGTCCGCGCCCCCGTCCAGCGTCTACGCGCCGACCACGTGAGTGCCACCAGCGCCCCTAGGGCTCCTGCTATCCACATGGATTCAGTAGACAAAACCTCATAACGTACTTATATATACAACCTTGTTATTGTTACCTGCTTAAATTTTAAAGTATCTCTGTGGCCTGAAGCAAATTCAAAATGAAAAAAACATCTAAAAGGCCGTTGGATTGATACGTGAAGTAATATAATATGAAGAAAGTTAAATCTTATTACGAATACAATGAATCTTGAAGCAGTTACTCTAACCATCTTCGCCCACGATCACTTCTTCCCACCCATCTGTCGTATTGCGTCCGTCATCGTATCGTTGTTTGTTTATCGTGTAGTTGGTTCATTCATGATATGAAAAAGAGAGAAAGAATATCGTTCTTTCTTTATTTATTTATGGATGGATATTATATATGAATGGATGATATTTAATTAATATAGTTTAAAACTATAAATAAGCTATATTTTAAACTCAATATGTCTTTAAAACTAAGCAATTGCTGTTTTCACTGATTCATAACAAATTAATAACATGATTGTTTTGCAGTAGTAACTTGCACCGTAAGAAAAAATTGTTAAGGGGTTGCTTCCATGGTCTTTTAGAACACAGTCTCTGTATTTTCACGGTTCGTAAAACCAAAAAACACCTCTAAATTTATCATTGATTTTTCAAAATAAAGAGAAATCGTAAGGAACCAGGTCGGCACTGTATGTCAGATGACTCATTCAGAAGAAGTCAAGTATGTATATGTTTGACTGTAGAAAAGTCCCATCTCCAGCAGTGGACTTGTAGAGCTGATGAAGAAGAAGATGGAATACCTTTTGATCTATTTACTTTGCCTTGAAGACGTTGTAAACGAAGGGCAATTGGAAATGGTTTGCATTTCAATTATCGTAATATGTCTCTTTTTTATACAAGTGGTAAAATTAAAAATTATGTACAACCGATTTCAATATAAATATAATAACATCAATGTAGTCGAAGTCAATTAAATACGCATTATTAAGGATAACTCAAAAATTACAAGTCAGATCTTGATCAAATCAAATTTATATGGGACCACATGAGAAGCACCAGCTTTCAAATAAAAAGAAAGAAAGAATCATCAAAATCAGTTCACCTAGAAAAAAGTTCTGAGGTAACACACATAAAAATATATATAGTCGATTGTTGCCACTAACAAGGACTATGATGGTACCTATACCTAGCAACCTGTAATTATAATGACTTTCTATATCCTATAGAGCGGAACACAGCAGTGCAAGCACTACTATTGCCAGCAGAAATAGGTAAAAGGACGGTACTTACCCATTCAGACTCCTAGACAAAAAAATTCCTACCACCTAGTGATCCTAGTGTGAGATATTTTCTACAGTTGTGCAGGTAGTTGTAAACTGGAGTAAATAAATACCGAAAAAAAGATTGAAACACGAAAGTAGCAAAACACCTTAGTATAAAATAAATAATTATTCTAAATGATAATAATTTTAGAAAGAAAGATAGAAACACTTTTCCACACCACAAACTATTTTTCTACATCCCATTAATGTGGATAAACACAATAATCAAACGGTAAAATTAAAAATGTTGTTCAACCGATTTCAATATAAATAAACTTAGAACATCAATGTAGTCCAAGTCAATTAAATACGCATTATTAAGGATAACTCAAAAACTACTGGTCAGATCTTGATCATATTTATATGGAAGTGGCAGCTTTAAAATAAAAAAGAATCATCAAAATCGGTTCACTTAGAAAAAAGTTCTCAGATAAAACACATAAAAAATACAGTTGAATTGAGAACCTTCTCCTTTTTTGAAGTCGTTTGAAAGGGATCATCATTCAGCATGAGTTGCGGTGTTGACCAAAATTTCGGAGAATACAGTCCCGATACCAATAAAATAAAGGAATTTAGTTTTCCATTTTATTCACTATATCGACCTCGGGTGTCGGGTACGGGGTTACGCACGCATCCGCGTCAGACCGCGCCTGACTGCTTCTTGGCGGTGTCTCCTAAGTGCATCACCTCCCAATCCCAATATTCCTCCTCAGGCAAAGCGCGCCGGGAACCCATTCATTCTAACCTAAACCGTGTCTAGTGAAATGTGTGCGATAAGAACTGCGGTTGACAACCCACCTGCCAAGCATCGAAACTGTAGCAAATATCCCCGATGAGGACATATAATATATATACTATGTTCAGCAGTAGACTATTGATAGAATAAAATACCATCATCATCATCAGATCTCGTTTATAAACAACTGGGTATAGGCACAGAGTAACCAAAAGTACGATAGTACTTTTGTTTACGATAGTACTTTTATTTACACATAGGCCTACCGCACAGTACCATCTTGGACTTCCAATCAACAATACAATGTTACACATGAACAAATTACTTTACATAGTGAATATAACAGCGCTCTATGATCCAATTTCTAAGTTAGCGTAGACTACATTTATTATAAAGAAAGGTAATTTTTATAGTACTACTAGCTGACCAGGCAGACGTTGTTCTGCCCTTTCCGTCGACCATGTGTCCAAAAAAAACATTAAATTCACAATTAAAAAAAATTAAGGGTCACTTATCGGGATAAGGACTATCCTATCTCTCAAGTTGGACCAAACTGCACACATTGTGAAACATTTCATTGAAATCAGTTCAGTAGTTTTGGAGTTCATCGCGGACAAACAATGTGACACGTAATTTTTATATATAAAGATTGGTATTATAGTACGTGAGGGTAATATGGTCATCCGTTTAATACGGTCACTTCTTATAACTCAAAAACTACAACCTTGTGTGCATAGACAGCTCTGTGATACGATAGCTCTTCATCTTCAATAAAGGGTCAAAAGGGCGCTGCTTTATCGACGCCATTTTGACAGTTGAAATTATTGTAAATATTTTAGTCAATTTTAGTATTGTGTAGTACCTATAGTTATTTTTTTAAGTTGATTTATCGAAGTGTTCCTAATTATTACCAAAGCTTGTTTGCTATTTCTTTCTTGATATATTAGTTATAGTTTACGACTTTGTGTTTTTGTCTCTGTCCTACTTCTAGTTTTGGTTTTATAGGGCGGGAATGCTTAAGGTAACCATATTCGCCCCACCTACCTTACTATTTACGAAAACAAAAACATTTTCGCTTCCACGTGTACGCTACGTGAATTCCTTATTCCATTGATAGAACATTGATACGCGCATGACGTCCAGTGCGAAGCAACAGAGCAATCCCATCAACCGTTTAGCGCGGCTAGTTCCCTTCTATTTATAGTTATACTCGTGCATTTACCGGCCGATGGTGCCGAATGCCACTCAACCTTGATACTCTTTACCCAGTTCTATCCGATTCTGCACGAACTTACCTGCATTGGTTTAAATCTATAAGAGAGCACTCAAAAAATAAACAAAACAATTCAAAGAGGTTAATCCAAAAATCCAATGTTATTTTTATTGTTTAAATATCCAACTCTTATGAAAACCAAAAATGTACATCCCCTGGATCAAGGAATTGATTAGAAAACCTGGTGAATCTATGTTGTGTTTGTTTATAGCCCGATTATCATTATTTAAATCATGTGGTGGTGTAGGTACAGGTAGGCCACTAAGGGAAACTTCGGGAAAATCTTGTGGTCTTCGAAAGAAGGCGCCATAGTAATTTCGTATTTATACCAGATGTAAAATATATAGACCAGCGACGGGAAGCAGCGTCTCGTTTAACGATTCTTTCTATTATCAGAGAGGCCCATGTCCAGCGGTTAAGTGTAGATTGTTTGTGGGCTAATGAGGAAATCATTAAACTTAATACATTTTTGTAAGGATGAAAAACAAGTATGTTGTATGTAACAGATTCGCGCTGCAGCTTTATAGTTTTATTAGGATTGCAGTACCTACAAATGGTCGCCTTGACCGGGACCACGCTCTCACGAAATGCCAGTGTAGAGTAACTACATAATTTTGCTGTTTCAAATGGCGAGCTTAGGCAACGGCAGAACCTTTTAACTGTTAACTAAGATTCTATCTTAGTCATCAGAGATGGTAACGCGTCTGTAATTTCATTCTAAAACCGAGGTTAAATGTAGAATTATCTATGTACCCTGAATCCACTCGCATTATTTTGTAATTCCGCGCACATAGGTCCGATCACGTGTGAGACAAAGTGCCATCGTGCGAGTATATGGATATCTGTTAATGGCATAAAGATTAACTTTATGAAGCCGCCGCTTTTTGATTCACTTGAGAAACAATTTCTGGAGCAGCAATGCGTCTATTTACGTTTAATATCAATTTTTTGAACTTCAGTTCATGTGCTGCTGGTGGCACTTATTAAAACAAATAAATTGTTAAATTTAATAGCGTGTTATAAATTATGTATAATATAAGGTGAAAAAGGATCTAGGTCAGCGACCTCATCGAGGTAAACATTTACAAGTGGTAAAATTAAAAATAATGTACAACCGACTTTAATAGTATAAACTTAAACTTATATAAATTTTAACAAAAAGTGAAAACCAACTCCAAATTGCTAAAAACAAGTTATTTATTGGCTACCCTTAGGGACGAAATCTTTTTCTCCAAATTTATATGGGACCACCCTTAAAGTATAACCTATTTAATAAAAAAGAATCATCAAAATTGGTTCACAATCTGCAAAGATATCGCGTAACATAATTTTATATTTAAAAAACATAAACACTCGAATTAAGAACTTCGGTTCATCTAGAAAAAAGTTCTGATGTATAAATACACATAAAAAATACAGTCGAATTGTGAACCTCCTTCTTTTTTGAAGTCTGTTGAAAAAACGTGCTTAGTATGTACTGACAACTATTCAACAGCTGATTTAGACCTGATCTGTGTGTTAACATACATGTATGCATATTTCCTATTGCTTTTGTAACAAATGTACCATAAAAATGTACAATGTTTATAAACTATTACAAATTTTAATGATTATTTTATTCAAAACTAATTAATTTAAAAGTATAATTATTACTTAC